CATGGGTCTAGATTTAGTCTTTCATATCTATAAAGCTGGTGTTTCCAGCAGCATTTATTAAAGAGGCTTTCTTCCAGTGAACACGTTTGACCTGTTTGTCAAAAGGCGGCTGAGTGTGTTTGGAGTTGTGTCTTTTTTCTGATCTGATCTGTTGATCTTCAGGTTTGCTTTTTCAGCAGTACCATGGTGATTTTATCACAGTAGCTTTGTACTATAATTTCAAGTTAGGTACTCTGATGCTGCCTGCCTTCTTTGTTGCCCAGGATTGTGTTTGCTATTATTCTAGGTCTTTTCTGTTTCCAAATGAATTTTAAGAATGCTTTCTCTAGATCTGTGAGGTATGCTAATGGTATTTTGATCAATATTGCATTAAATCTGTGTAACAGTTTTTAAAAAAATGTTTCTTTGGGGGTGGGGGTACCAGGGATCAAACTCATGACCTTGTGCTTGCCAGGCAGATGCTTGTGCTGCTGAGCTTAATCCCCAGCCCCTGTGTAACAGTTTCAGCAGTATGATCATTTTAACAATATTGGTTCCTTATGTCCATGAGCAAGAGCTATCTTTCCATTTTCTGTTAGCCTCTTTAATTTCCTTTTCAGAGTACCGTAATGTTCATTGTATAGCTCTTTTAGTTCTTTTTTTAGATTGGTTCCTAAGTATTTCACTTCTTTGGTTGCTATTATAAAGGGTGTGGTTTCCCTAATTTCTCCTAGGAGTTTGTTGTTTGTGTATGGGAATGCTGTTGACTTTCGAGTTCTGACTTTGTATCCAGCTACACTACTGAATTGGATTATTAATTTTAGAAGTCTTTTGGTGAAGTTTTTGGGGTCTTCTATTAGACTGTCATGTAATCTGTAAATAATGATAGTTTAAAATTTTCCTACCCTTATTCCTTTTTTTTTTCTCTCTCTTGTCTAATTGCTCTGGCTAGTGTTTCCAGAATTGTATTGAATACGAGTGGTGATAGTGGACAACTTTGTCTTGTACCTGATTTTAGAGAGAAAGTATTCAGTTTTTGTCTAGTATGATGCTGGCTGGTGGTTTGTCATAGATGGCTTTTATCAGATTTAGGTAAAGACCATCTATTTCAGTTTTCTGTAGGTTTTTTTTCTTATCATGAATGAATGTTTAACCTTACTAGAAACTGTTTCTGTGTCTATTGAGGTGATTCTGTGATTTTTGTCTTTCACTTTGTTAATGTCGTGTGTTACGTTTATTGATTTGTTTATGTGGAACAATCCCTGCATTCCTGGAATGAATCCCACTTGGTCATGGTATATAATCTTGATAATTTGCTGTATTTTGTTTTCCAATATTTTATTGAGGATTTTGCACCTATATTCATTAGGGAGATTGACCTGTAGTTCTGTTTTTTGGTTGCTTTCTCTGGCTTTGGTATCAAGATAATACGTGCCTTGAGAAATGAGTTAAGGAGAATTACTTCACTTTCAGTTTTATTCAAGGATTTGTGAAATGGGATTGGCATTAAATCTCCAGATTTTTTTGTAGAAGTCAGCTGTGAATCCATCATGACCTAAGCATTTTTTGGTTAATAAATGGAAAGGAGCTGAAATTATTTAATTTTCAGTTTCATTAACTGATACTGGTTATTCAGAATTTTCATTGAATTTTCTTGATTCAGCTCTGATAATTCATATAGTTTTAGGAATCTCCTTTTCTTCCATATTTTCCATCTTATGCAAGTAAAGATTTTCAAAGTAAGTATTCATGATCTGAAATTTTCACCGGATCTACAGTGATTTCACCCTTTTCATTCATTATTGCATGAATTTGAATTTTTTCTTTCCCTTTTTTGACAAGGTTGGCTATGGGTTTATCAATTTTATTTACTCTTTCAAAGAACCAGCTCTTTGATTATTTCCTTGTACTGTTTTCTTAGTCTCAACTGTATTAATTTCTACTCTGATTTTTCTGACTTCCTCCTTGTAGGGGCTTTGAGCTTCACTTACTCTTCTTTTTCTAGATGCTTGAGTTGCAGCGTTAGGTTGTTTGTGATCATTCTGTTTTCCTGATGCAAGAATTTACGGCTATCAATTTCCCTCTTAGGACTGCTTTCATTGCGTATCGCAGGTTCTGGTAAGTTGTCCTTTGATTATATTGTTTAATTTCTTCTTTAATTTCATCTGAGACCCATTGCTTGTTCAGAAAAGTGTTATTTGATTTCCGTATGTTCATGGAGTTTTTTTGGTTTGTTATTAATTTCTAGTTTCGTTGCACTATGGTCAGTTTATATATATGGGATAATTTCAGTTCTTTTCCATTTACTTAAGCATGTTCTATTAGTTAGTATATGGTCTATTTCAAAGAACTTCCTGTGTATAGCTGAGATCAATGTCTATTTTGATGTTGTTGAGTTGAACACACTAAAAACATCTAAATCCATTGTTCACAGATTTGTTTCAGTTCTTTTATTTCTTAGCTGATTTTCTGTCTAGTTGATCTATCTCTTTGTGACAATGGGGTATTAAGGTTATTCATTATAATTGTGTTCTTATTTGCTTTTTCAGGTCTATTAAAATTTGCCTTTTATAGTTGGGTGCTCATGTATTTGGTGTATATATATTTATGATATCTATTCCTCTTGAATTTCCCTCTAATTTAAAGTATGTAGTGACCTTCTTATATCTTTTGATCTTCCTTGATTTGAAGTTTTTGTTATCTGCAAATGTGAATAAACTCTCCTGGCTTTTTTCTGGGTTCTTATTTCATGGAGCATTGCTTTCTATCCTTTGACTTTTAGTCTTTGAATTTATTTTTCAGTTAAATATATTTCTTGTATCCAGCATACTGTTTGATTTTGTTTCTTGATCCATTCTACCAGTCTCTTTTGATTGGTGAATTGGTGCCATTAATGGTTATAGCTGATACATACGGGTTTTTTTTTTCATGTTACATGCTATTTTCCTGCTGTTGGTTCCATTTACTCTTATATTGTTTTTCTTTGTATCATCCTGTTGCTGTTGAATTCTTCCTGCACTTTTGTTATTTTCAAGATATTTTTTCTTTTATCATTGCTAGCCACAATCCTGTCTTCAATTTTGTTCAAGTGGTTTGCCAGCTTCCAATGGAATTTTTTATTTTCTGGATATCTGTTTGCATCTATTTCATGTATTCTATTTCTTTCCTATATTGGTCATTCACAGATTCCATCTTCTTCCTGTCATCATTATTTATTTATTCATCTGTCTCTACTCTAGACATTTTTTTTAAACCTGAGAGTTTATTTTTTATCTAATATCCTCTGTAGCCTTGTGAATTTATTCCTTTAGTTTGGTTGTGTGTCTTCCAATTTCTTTTATAGACTTGTGAGTAGGCTGGAGATCTGTGATTGCATTTTGCTTTTTTGTCTTGTAACTTTTTATTTCAAAAATTTATTTTTGTTTTCCGTAATGCTCTGGTGAGTTTTTGTACTAGGTAACTATATCACTAGTAGCAATACCTCTCTAGGAAAAATCTGTTCTTTAGGTGTGTCTTCTTCACAGGAAATCTTGATTTGTGTCTGTCCCCAAGATCCTACCTTCTCAATTAAGTAAGCATATAATACTGGTGTCTGTTTGGATCGGTCCCCAGTGCTTTGGTTTAGTACTATAGTGAGGTTATTAGCCCAGTGCTTTCCAGTACTGTAATAGAAGGGGGAACAAGTGATTACAACTGTGACATCCTAGCTAAAGTAGTAAAATTGTCAATAACAGTAACATGAAGCACAGTTCAGAAACTGATGAACTTTGGTAATTACTGGTTTTGTACTTTAGAAAATAGGATCAAAGTCTATAGTTGCAAAACGGAATCAATTTTAAATTAGGAGTTTGTATTGAAAACGTTTTCCCTTGGTAGCGTGATTTTACCCAGAGGTGGGAAAATTTAGGGAAAATAGTGTATAAAATGAAGATAACTGGGAAGGAAGTAGAAACAAGACTGAGGAGAACGAGTCATCACGCGTGGTTTGAGAAACTGGAGAAGGGGCTAGAAAAAAAAACGAAGGAGTGTGTTCGAGGGATTAACAAAACTTGGTTTCTGGGTTTGAGGATGGAATTAGTTTTTACAGCTGTTTAGAAAAGGGAAAAAAAGAAAAGAAAAGATGGAATAAAAATGAGGACGATTAAAAAGAAAGAGAGAGGGGGGAGGGGAAGGGAGAGAGGGAGGGAGAGAGGAACAGAGGGAGAGAGAGAAAAGGGCTGAATACAGAGTCCTGGCTTATTTTTATGCTGGTTGCTGAGCCTACAGTGTGGTGGAAAGGGCAGATACCTTGGTTCCTCCAGTGGAGCTGGTTGCAGAATGCTGGGTTTTTCCTGCACTGATCTGAAAGTTTTGTTGTTATTAACTTGCATTTGGTGGGTGAGACAGCATATAAATAATCAAATGAGAAAATTTCAAGTATTTGCTAGCGCTGCAGACATAATTAAAATTGTTTTTGGTAGACTATATAGCTGCACTGTTGTAAATTAGATGATTGGGAAGACCCTATTACAGGATGTATCTTTTAATCCAAGAGCTGCTTGTTAAGAAGTTGATTGTGTGAACTTGATGGGTAGAGCATTCCAAGGAGAGGGAACCACTGGAAAGTTGTGTAATTTGAAATCTGTAAGTGAAATCTGTAAGTGTAAAACAAAATTGGCAAGTTTGTTCATCTCTTAATAGTATTGGCTATACCAATATTGGAGACTTCCAGATTATATAAAACTCATTTTGAAAGAATATTATAGTAGTATGTAGAAAGTAGTGATTTTATTTTGCCTGTTCTCTTTTCTTTCTCCAACTGTATGCAGTGTATTATCAAAAGCACGCAAATTTCATGAGTTGAAATGTATCAGGCAAGTTTTTAACAATTTTTAATTAATGATAGTTATTTTACTTTTTTCTGTTGTGTGTGTATATGTGTTTGTGTGTGTAAGAATGTGTTTGTTTATACAGATCAGTTTGTTAGATTGGGCTACCTCACCCATCCCTGAGCAGATAAATACCGTCTTGTTTTATTTCAGGCTTCTCATTGTATGGATCACGGATTGACTAATACATGGCTTTACCTCGTCTCACAGGAGCCTTGCGCTCCTTTTCAAATGTCACTAAGCAAGAGAATTATAATGAAGAAGTGGCTGACTTAAAGGTAAATGTTTTACATGAAAACTATTATAGACATAGATTGTGGGAAATATTTGGCATCGTTTTATTAAATTTTATGTACCTAAAACCGAGGCTTTACCTTGTTTTGAGACCAAGAAGAAAATGATATAAAACGAGTTATTTTAATTGCTAACTCCTTGCTTGCATGACTCTATTGCAGTATAATAATACCCTTATCTGGTAGTTTGAAAGTTTATTGCTTTTATGCCATTTTACACTTAGTAACTTCACTTGTTTGATTCTAAAAAGAACAGATGTGCTACATTCTTTAGACAGACATTTTTCCCCTATATTGTAAAGACACAGAATTTTGTTAAACAGAAAATTGTTAACCTTCTTTGCAATAGCAGCTGTTTTATATCTTTCAGAACAATGTAAAAAAGGATAAATTCTGTACAGTTAATTTTGATATCATACACTTGTGTCATGAGTGTCTAGTGTACTCTGGATCCTGGGAAGAGGCTCACACACCAAGTCGGGACACGGGGGGGGGTGCAGCGCGCAGAAAAGAAGCAGCAGAGAGAAACAGCAATTGTAACTGCACACTAAGTCTTTATTTTAGGGCTCCTATATAGTAAAACAGAGCCCAGGCAATTATCTTGAGAAAGCATTCTTTGTAACAAGATTTGTGACCAACTACAACGCTTATCTCTACTCTCTAAGTTAAACAAGCAAAAACAGTTCTTCTAACCACACTAACCCAGGAGGAATCCAATTAGCCCAAGAATGCACTCCAGTTAGCTCAAGAGTGCTCTTAATTATGTTTGTTCTTTCTAGCCACCTGAAGATCGGCCACCTCCCCATGACTCTGCAAACAAAGCCAAGTCACACAGTATGAGTTAGAGGGGGGAACCTGTTCCCACACTGGGGGTGGGCCTTCCCGCCCCGTCTCTGTCCTGCATACCGGGGCTATTGTTTATTGCAGGTCACAAGAGGGCCAGAGCCTCAGAGTAACTCTTCATCTTCCACACACTTGGATTATTTTTTTTACCTTCTAAAGGCCTTTGCAAGTTATTGTGAATTAATAATATGACACATTTCAAAATTTAGAAGTATATAAGGGCTAATGCTTCTCCCATGTCATTTTATTTCTTTTTGTAGGCTTTTTAAATGCCCTGTATGTCTCCTAAAAGGAAAGTGACCTGTATAATAAATTTCTTTTTAGTTGTTTTGTTTTGGTATAAAGAATCAAACTTAAGACTTTGTGGTGGTCAGGTAGGCACTTGTGCCATTGAGCTATACCCCTGGCGATTGATGTAATTTTTTATCTTAAAAATGTTTAATATATACAAAACTAAAGATAAAAGTAACATGAAATCACTATTTGACCCCATTGTAACAACTTAGTTCATTTTGTGGCCAGACTATTTTATCTGTGCCCATTCTTTTCCCCCTAGACCCAAATAGGCCAGTCCCATTTTAAATTTTAATGTTGAAGCAAGAACTAATGAATTATGAATGTGATCCATACAACCTAGAGTAAAATTACAGTTTTCTACCTGACTCAACAGTTTTTCATTTGATTAGAGTGCATCTCATGTCTTTTATCCATGCATCAAAGCCAGTGATATGTCATAAAATTTTTATTGCTTTCTGTAGACAGTTCTTAAGAGTAAAAAGCTGGCAGTCTCAAAAAAGAGTATATACAGATATGAATCTCCTGTTTGGCTAAGGTGGTCTGAGATTTGGAAAACAGTAATAACAATAATTTGACTTGAAATTGTTGAATTTATCCTAGAAACCTGAGTTTCTTTGAATACTTTTCATCAAAAAGAATGCCATAAAGCTTGTATTTATATACATTATGATACGTTAAAAATGTAGCATAAAACTGAGTGGAGGTACTGATGTGCTACATTGGTAATTATTATCTTGTGGATATTGAACTTTTTATTTTACTGTATGAAAATAGTACATTATAATTTCTCAATGTACATTATAATTAAAATTGTTTTAAAAACTTTCATTGAAACATACCAGACAAAAGAGATTTTGTGAAATCACGTTTAAATGAAAGTCCATCTAAGAAGTCAGTTTGGGTATAAGTAGTTAAAACTGTGAATTTTTGTTGGTAGTGCCAAGTTGTATTTTGTATATGTGATAAGTAGTGGATTTGAGAAAAACTTTTAATTAGTATTTCTTTTTATTGTGGTATCTGTTTCAGCTGAAGCGATCCAAACTTCAAGAACAAGTTTCAGATTTGGGACTGACATGGAAGAAGATAGTGACATTTTTGAAAGAAAACTTGGAGAAGAGTAAAATGCAAATTATAGATACAGATTTAAAAAATATATTACAAGCTGCAAAACAAATAGGTATTTTTAAAAACAATCTATAAGGCTTAAAAATAGATTGCTTATGACTATAACATAGTAAAAGTGTAAAATTTCCTGGCAAGTGTTGACAGTTACAAAAACCTTAGTCAAGAATTTAGGTTGAAGTGGTGGGCAGAAGTTACTAATTATAATACAGCTAGAGGAATTTGTAGAAATTTAGAGTGGGAAGTCCATTGTTTTGTTTGAAATGAATATTAGATACATTAAAACTTTAATCTAGTCCCAATGGACCTTAAAAGTCCTGTAGCTCAGTCTCTTAGTATAAATGACCACCTAGTATAGTCAATGGTGTACGTTAGTTTGTACTTCGATTGCTCAGGCTCTCAACCCATATCTAACGTTTCCAATATATATAATTATATTTGAATGAAGCATTCAATAGTGAATGTAAGTTACCACCTGAAAGTTACAAGCAAAACTCAGTGAAACCAAACAAATGATTTTCTGGTAAAAATAGCTGTACATTCCAGTTTATCATGTTATTCCCAATTTTCTGTGACTAAAAAGCATATTTAAAACTTCTGTAGCTCTAAATTTTTTAAATACAGCAAATTTGTACCTATAGAGTCCAGACTCATTTTCTGGCTGTATGTAAGTGGTCTCCTTTCTGGTCTCATACTCTCCTCGCCTCATCTATGTGGTGCTTTATTCACGTCCTCAGATCTGCCACACTGCTTGTTGCGGGGACTGTGCCACACATGTTCTTAATAAAGCCTTCATTGACCATCCAATCTCAAGTACTCATCCAGTTGGTTTTTATTGTAAAGTCTTGGAGTACATTTTCTCTGTAACATTTATTATTACATAATATTTTGCCACTTTTTGCAGTGCTACTAGGATATGTTTCATGATAATAGGATGTATTCTTGTTAATACTGTATTGTCAGTGCTTAGAATAATGCCTTGCCTATTTTAGGGTCTCAATGAAGATTCATTTGACAAATGAAATGTTTTTTCATGATTTCTTCATAGAGGGAAAATAGATTCTTACTTTTTAATATTGTTTGGTAATTTTGTTCTATACACCAGCATTGGTTGGTGTTTCTGTTGTATCCCATAGATTTAAAGATTTGCTTATACTCTCTAATCTTTATGTTTTTAAAAAATATTGATTTTTTATGGCATTTCATTATGTATTGTTGGTCTGTAATTTATAATAAGTGTTTTCATTGTTTTATATTGTGAAAGTACCAAGTAAAAGTGCATGTTTTTGCATTAGATGATTTTCAGAAGTTCAAGAACTTCAGTTTACTTAAACCTAAATGAAATGGAGTACACGTCAGTAAGATTTGTGGTAGCATTTGACAGAGATTCATACTTTTATATTTTAAGAATATAGGAATTATTTTGATTCAGCAATAGTGAAAATGTATAATCTTTGGCCCTTTTTATTTGATTTTCACTTTTGTGATCTTTGTTTTCATTTGTAAAATTTTGAGTCACCAACATCATGTACACCAACAGTACACTAAATGTACTATGTAGAAACTGTATAGTGTCCTTTCTGTTCTTTATTTCATAATAAAAATGCCATAAAATACTTAGAAACAGTATTGGCATGTTGAACTTACGCAGTACCATGACTAAATTTTTTCTTTCTATGAATTACATATAAAATAAGATTTAAGAATATAAACTACCATTTAAACTGTTTCCTCAAATATATCTATTTATAAGTCAATAAATAGTTTTCAAAACAGGAGTCATTAAATGTAAACTTGTTGCTGCAACAACTGATTCAGACAGGATGAACAATCAACTAATGTATTTAAGATATTGAGATGAAGTATCTTAATATTTCTAAGACACATAACATCTTGATATTAGATTTAAGCAAAAGCTCTGTTATGTCTACTTTTTAACATTGTGCTTAAGTTGAAATATTGCAGATTTAGTAAATCACTTGTTAGCTACCAAGAGTGAAAATTTTGCTGACATTAGAAATTTCATTAAAACCTGAAGTTTTGAAGAGGTGAGCGTCATAGTGAAAATATGTTGATGACTTTTCTTATATTTCCTTTTTTAGCACAGATTATTTTTAGTGTAAGTATATTAAAAAGGTAGAATAGGAGAATAAAGAAGAGAATAATTGTATTTCATTTGCATATAATGTAGTACAAGACAATAATTTAGGGCCATGTACAGAATATTGCTTAGAGTAATAGATATATTAAATTGGAGGAAACATTAGGTAACTTGTTACCTAATTCTTTCATTTTGTAAGTGAAAAAACAGTGATTCTCATGGTTGATATGTGGCTAATGTAAGCCTAGATCCAAATTCTGAAAGAGAAATAATAACAAATCCTAGATTTTTACCTTTTTTCTTTTTGTAGTCAGAAATCTTGTTGTTTCCTTTTTTAAGCTACTCTTACATGTCCTTTTATTTCAAGCTTTCATTGTTTGAAGTCTAAAATGCTTCAGTAGTCTTATTTCTTTACCTGTCTTTTCTCCATTTATTTCCTTAGGAAATTTATTTTTAAAATTTAGTAATTAAGAATTAGTATAAATCTTTTTAGGAATTTGAAGGAAAAACTTTTTTTTTTTTTGGAAACTTGAAGGCTGCTGTAAATCTTTTTAAATGATTGATCTCACCTAAATTTTCAGCATCTGTGTAATGCAGATAAATTGTTAGGCGGGAATGCAGGAAGTTAATGTGAAAGATTTTAGTAAATTCTATTACAAAGAAATTCCAGTTTATAACATCGGAATTCCATCTTTATAAAATCATACATATGTTACCTATTAAGTTTATAAATGTGAACTCCAGTTTTGCTTAGAATTCAGTATCATTAATACAAATCATGTTATTTATAGAATTTCCACAGTCCCTGAATTATCTAGAATATAAATTTCTAAGCATAAGTAAAATATACATAATGAATAAATAAAATCTATACAGGGGCAGTTAAGTTAATTTAAAAGCATTGTATATTCTATAGATTTTTTGTCAGGTGTTTTTCTAAATACTAAAAAGAATAGTTGTATGACAGTATTTGTCATTTATAATTAAAATTTGACTTTGTAGTTGAAATTGAGAATTAAAAAGTTGTCTCCATATATAAACTTTTGACTTCTACACATGTGTTATTGTGTAGATAAATTTAGTGTAAAAATAGTGTTCTGGTATCACTGAGATTTAGTTAAAAATCAAAACTAGTCTATTGAACCCAAACGTTTGAAGATAGGTACAGTGAGGGAATACAAAAATAAGGACAACATTGTATTCTTCCTTGCTAGAGGCAGCTGAGAGCTAAGAGTCTGAAACAGGATTGAAATAATCAGAGGCCATGGGAAGTATACAGATACAGAAATAGGCATAGAATAGGGCCTTTTTCTTTTGTAATTATAGCTTTTCAAATCTTGTCTACGTTATCTGGTCTGACCTCCAACTTTAGGGCTCAAGTTACCCTGTTAAATGTTGCCTTGTTCTCCAAAGTAGCTAAGAGTACAGTTGCCAGCATGTTGAGCAGGATCTTACCATGTCTGAATGTTAAGAAATCATTTTTGGCTCCCATAGAAATTTGTGATTGCCAGTATGGCTGATAAAAAAATGATGAGGTCAGTTCCTGGCTATGTGGGAAATTGGACCCAGCCTAATAAGCTGTTCAAGATTTGTGTGTAATGATCTCAGATCCAAGCTTTTCAATAAGATAGTGGTGTTATATATATTCTTTACTTTATAGTATTGCTTATTATATTAGGTAGATTAATTGACTTTAGAACCTCTTGAAGATTTAATTCTCTTTTTTTTTCTGCTGTAAGAACAATTTCTGAAATCTGTGTCACAAAAGGTTCTTTTGAGAAAATTGGATATAAGAATTTAATACTTTGAAGAAATCAGTGCCTAATACTTTACCTTTTCCTACTTTAATAAGGAATTTCTTTCCTGTCAGTTATAAGCAGCAGCTTACTTTTATATCTTATGGATGCATATTTTAAACTTTTTTATACATATAAACCTTGATGACATTAAATGCTTTTGAATGTAAATCTGTAGTACATTTATTTCATGTTATCTAGATTAATGGTACAAATCAGAAAGAAAATTATTAATAGTGGAGATTTCTTTTCAACTCCAAAAATCTAATTTAGATATTTTTACATTCTGTTTGTTTCAGTGGCTTGTCAAATCAGTGTTTAAAATTTGGTTTTAAAAAATCTTAGTTAATGTCTGTCTGTCTGTCTGTCTTTATAGAGAAAGAAGTAATTGTTTTTAGGTAGGTGATGTGCTTCCATGTAGAATAATTACTGGTGATAGTTTATTTACCTAAAATACCGGGGAATTTAAGAATGGTTATTTTTGCTCATAAATGGATTATTTTCCTTGATATATTTTGGCTGTTGGGTTTAACTAACATACATGATATGCATATGTGTATATACTAGTTAATGTATATGTATTTATGTATTTTAATTTTTTTCTTATAGCTGTAAATTGAACCTTAAGTCACTTGAATTTTTTTCTTCTATCTTTCAATAGTTGGAATGGATAATGGGAGAGAAGCAATTGAAAGTGGTGCTGCATTTCTCTTTATGACATTTCACTTGAAGGATGCTGTTGGTCACATGGAGACAAAGGCTATCAAACAGATGTTTGGTCCATTTCCATCATCATCTGCCACTGCAGCTTGTAATGCCACGAATCGAATCATTTCTCAGTTTAGTCAAGATGACCTTACTGCTCTTCTCCAGATGACAGAAAAGGAATATGGTAACAAAGTATTTTTTGGTAAAAATCTAGCATTTTCATTTGACATGCATGATCTGGAACACTTTGATGACCTGCCAGTAAATGGTGAAACCCAGAAAACTATAAGCCTAGATTATAAGAAGTTTCTGAATGAACATTTTCAGGAGCATTATACTCCAGAACTCAAACCTATGGAAAAACCAAATAGTTCATTTTTGTGGTGTGAAGTTGAGAAGTTCTTAAATGCAACTTTAAAGGAAATGACTGAAGCACCAAGAATAGAAGATCTTTGCTGTACCTTATATGATATGCTTGCTTCTGTTAAAAGTGGTGATGAGCTTCAGGATGAGGTATAGTTGAAGTTATTGAAGTTTTATATAACTGTGGATGATGTTAATAAAATAGCCTTTCACACTATATGTGTGTATGTATGTATGTGGTTCTGGAAATTGAATTTGGCCTTGTTCATACTAAGTATGTACTCTTATCACTTAGCTAACTCCCCAGTCCAGCCTACCCTTTTTAAATATTGGCCCCTTGCAAAAAAGGTGATCCTTCAATATTGTAGCTTTATAACTCAATTGTATTGACAGATGCTTTTAACATGGCGGGTAGTGTCAGGAGGACTGTGAGTGCAAAGAGCAGTGAAAGCACACAGGGCAGCAGTTGAGGATCTACCTGTGCTGGTTACTGGGACAGTTGGCCCAAGCACTGTGTAAATCTCTTGTTTCATTGTGATAATTAGAACTTTTACTCTGAAAAGGATGTGGATTTGATTGAAAATTATATCGTTACTCCAGTAATAACTGGAAATACTGTTTGTAAGCATTTCTGTGATAAAAATTAAACTTTATTAGAATTTTTATATATTAGTGATTTGCTAATTTAGAAAACTTTCTAATTTCTGTGTTTGAAACAACTGTTGAAAAACAGATTGATTTAGAAGTAATTGGATTATTTGATATATTAGGTCACTTGTTCAATAAAGAATTGTTTTTTTCTATCAGATGAAGGAAAGCATTATTTTAATTCCTTTCTATGCCACAATTTGGTTATGAATTACTTTTACTGTCACATGAAAATTTTGTTCTGCCTTCAATATTGGCATTATATTTTTTCTGAAATTTAAAATAATGTCATCCCAGTTTTAATACTGGGCAAATGAGCATTTAACACATTTGATGAAAGATTAAGAAGGACTGGTATCTCAGGGGCACAGGTTGAAGTCAGGTATTTTTTTATCTATATGTTGCTTTTATGACTTTAGGTTATTAAATCTCTCAGAAGGTCAATTTTCTTTCTGGGCTCTTTTAAATGAATTTAGGAAATTAGCCAACTAGGTTTTGGAGGACTAAACCCATAGTAGTGTTAAATGTTATGATGTTTTATATTAGTATGGAAGTAAGATACATTGTTAACTCTAGTCAGTATCATATATATATATATATATATGTATATATATATATACATACATATACATATATATATATATATATATATTTTTTTTTTTTTTTTGTATCAGGCATTGAACTCACGACCTTGTGCTTGCCAGGCAGGCACTTATGCTGCTGAGCTAAATGCCCAGCCCCAGTATCATATATCTTGCTATCAGATCTGTTCCACATTAGTAAATGAGTTATCTCTAACATTGTGGAATAAGTTTTAGCAATTGTGATTTATAACAATTTTTACTGATATTTGCTTATATAATTGAACATATAGCAGCCTATTGTTATTGTAAGTTGAAACTTAGAAAAATCAAACTAATGGATATTTTATTTTCTAAGTAAGCTATAAGACTTTTTTATTTGTGAATATCTGTAATGAAGTTGTATTTCTTAGTTCTTCACCATAGTTTCAAATATATAAACAGTCTCATTGCTGAGAAAAGGATATGTTGTAGTTTTCATTTCCATAATCTTCATTTTAAGGTCAAATTAAATTTGTGCATCCGTCCATTCATTATGTTTATTCTTACTGTGTTACTTGGCACAGTGCTAATTGGTAGACATAAGAGAATGACTGATGTAGGAACTTCGTTATCAGGGAATTAATTGTTAAACAGATATATCAACAGATAACTTTATTAAGATATCATATGTATCATACTTTATACACCTGGTGTCATTAAAGAACAAGTCATGGATTCTGTAGAAGGCCGAGTATGGTTGAGAAAGTATTTGTTGGGAGGTTAAGTGTGAGCTAAGCCTTAAAATATGACTAGATTTGTCATCTTTGAGTGACTCAAAAAAGTAGAGAGTGTGTTTCAGGCTTGAGGATAAACGTAGAATGAGACAGGTTTCAGAGGAAGTATGTAGAGAGAGAAGGGGTACAGATGGTAACAGTCAAATAATTTGAAGCCACATGTACCTCGTTAAAATGTATTTATTAAAAGACTCTTAAACCTGTGTGGTCTGGTATAGTGACTTTTAAACAGTGGCTTAATGTGTAATAGTTCAGTATGTTAGTAAACATTTTACATTCTACGAGTGGCTTCAGCACTACTAAAGTTTTAAATGGTTCATTATGTCAGGACTTTGATTTTTCTGTGAGTGAAAATGAATAAGTATGATCATTTTTAATATTACACTATAGGTTATTCACGCTTTCCTAATTTGTCTTCCCACAGATTTAGTGTTTCTGTTTTCATATTCAGATCTTTGATCCATTTAGATTTTAGTTTAGTATATGGTGATAGGCATGGTCTAGTTTTAGTTTTCGGCATATGAAGAGTTTTTCCAGCACCATTTATTAAAGAAACTGTCGTTTTTCCAGTGAATGTGTTTGGCCCCTTTATCAAAGATAAGGTGATTGAGTGTGTTTGTATTGTGGTTGTATCTTCTAATCTGTTCCATTGATCTTCAGATGTTTTTATTCCAGTACCATGTTGATTTTATTACAGTAGCTTTGTAGCATAACTTGAAAGCAGGGATTGTGATGACTCCTGCCTTCCCTTTGCTGTTTAGAATTGTCTTTGCTATTTTAGGTCTTTTCTGGTTCCAGATGAATTGTAGGAGTGATTTCTCTAGATTTATGAGGTATGTTGATGGTATTTTCTTTGGGATTTCATTGAATCTGTATAACAGTTTTGGGAGAATGACCATTTTCACAATATATATTCTTCCTATCCATGAACAAAGGATGTCTTTCCATTTTCTGAGATTCTCTTCAGTTTCTTTGTTCAGGGTATTATAATTTTCCCTGTATAGATCTTTAACTTCTTTTGTGAGATTAAATCCTAAGTGTTTCATTTTTTTGGATGCTAGTGTGAAGGGTGTGACTTCTCGTATTTCTCTGTCAGTGATTTTGTTGTTAGTGTATAGAAATGCTATTGTTTTTTGAGTATTGCCTTTGTATCCAGCTACATTACTGAATTTACTTATTATATCTAAGAGTCTTTCAATGGAGTTTTGGGAGTTTTCTATGTAGAGTTACCATGTGGTCTGCAAATGATGATGATTTAACTTCCTCTTTTCCTATCTACTCCTTTTATTTCTCTCTTGTCTAATTGCTCTGGCTAGTATTTCCAGTACTATGATGAATTGAGTGGTGATAAGGGACATCCTTATCTTGTGCCTGATTTTAAGGTAAAATTCTTCAGTTTTTGATTATTTAATATGGTGCTGGCTGTTGGTTTGTCATAGATGGCCTTTATCATATTGAGGTAAAGGGTATCCCAATTTTCTGTAAGGTTCTTATCATGAATGAGTGTTGTACCTTATCAAAAGCTTTGTCTGCACCCATAGAAATGATCATGTGATTCTTACTTTTGGCTCTGTTGGTATGGTAGATTATATTTATTGATTTACATAGGTTGAACCATCCCTGCATGCCTGGGGTGAATCCCACTTGGTCCTGGTGTGTAATCTTTTGGGAGATTTGCTACATCCTGTTTGCTAATGTTTTATTGTTGCTCCTGAAAGTTAACAAAGCCATGGACGCTTTGTTATTTTTAAATGTAACCAAAAGGGGTATACAAAAAGCTACTTTTGTGCTGAAGGTATTTTTTGTTCCTTAGTATATGATTTCTCAGGTCTAAATATAGTTTACTGACATATGGGCTAATTGATGATAGGGCTCATTTAAGTGCTAGCAGTAAAAGTCTTTTTTCTAAGGACTTGTATTTTATTGTGGAACTGATGTTATTGTGGAACTAGTGTTTTTTTCTACGGATTTTTATTTTATCGTGGAACTAGTGTTAGAAAGGCAGATGTAAAATGTGTTTGCAAAGTTGTGATTTACTACTACGACAGTGCAGGGAGGTTCTAGTCTTAACTATGTTGAGGAAAATAACAGAACTAATGACAGACCTGAATAATGACATGACTGTATTTGACGCTATTTATATACAGAGGATGATTAAAAAATACTGTGTGCCTTTAAATTAAAAAAAATTATTTCAGTAAAATTCACACCATCCCCTCAAATTCCTTTCCATTTGCTTCAGAAACACCTGCCTCATCATTAAAGCCCCTTTTGCAGCAGTACTGGAAGTCCTTTTTCATGAGCATCTTTTATAAGGTCTGATAAAAGACGTGGTGAATGTTGCCGGCAAGTGCCGTCCAGTTAAAGGCAGGCTTGTGAAAATATTCTGATGCATTCTCATCCACCTGTTTACTGGACTTAATTAGCACTATGTGACTTCCGGCTCTTCGCAGTAATTAAAGTGATCATGAAAAGTAATGAACTTTGAGGCAGCCATGACAGCACAACTGTCACAAAAAGACTTGAAGAACTGGTTCGAAAAGTGGCAAGAATGATGGATAAGTGAGTTAGAAGGGGGGAGGTGGATTAATGGTAATGTCTTATCTGCAGTAAATGAAAAAAATACTCAGAGTATTTTTGATCATTTATTGTACATGACTTCATTTTATGTTTATAGCAATGTTTTGTAATACATGTTTGTTGGATTAAAGACTTAGAAGCCCTACAAGCTCGAAAGATTATACTCAGACTTTTCCTCTCCAGTTACATGTGATTAGAAGTTTTTAAACATTAGAAAGTCATATTTTGTTACCATTGTGGTAAACTTGATGTCTTTCTGAAATATTTCTTATTTTTAACTATCCCTGTAATGCTGATAACTTAAGGAGAAGCTTTTTTGTCTGTGGATTGTTGATTAATAGTAAATGTTTTATAGATTAGCAAATTGAATTTAGAGATGTTTGGAAATCTGCTTGAGATTACAGAATAAGTAGTACATCTAGAATTTAAATTCAGGCATTCTCACTCCAGTGTATATTTGTATGCTTTGCTAAGAAAGAAATCTGTACATTTTCCTTTGTTTGGTACTTTGAAACATCAAGCATCTTTAATATATATGAATAAATCTTTGTGTTAACTCTTCTCA